AGTCATGGGAATCTCACAGAGACACAGCATAGAAACATACGTTTGGCAGAATTGTGGAATGTAGCTGTGATTACTCTTGTATTATGTTATCCTAACAACTGGGTTTCATTTGAATTGTAGGAGGCAAAGATATCGTAATGGGTAACTATGGCCCACAATGGAAAAAGCAGCGGAAGCTCTTCACTGCAGCTTTACGACAGTATCTTCTTGATATCCCGCTCATAGAAAGGCGAGTCGCAACACAGGCTGAGAAACTTGTGCAGTTCATGGAGGAACAAAATGGAAAGCCTTTTAATCCCTCAGATTGTCTGATGCGAAGCGTGGCTAATGTTATATGCGGTATAACGTTCGGTGAGGGTGAAGACACGACCAATCCAGAATTGGACCGACTTTTGAAATTGAATGCGGATTTTATAGCTAACGATGAGGATCTCAGATTAGCCACAATCTTGGAATTCTTCTCATGGGCACGCTATTTGCCACTTAAGGTTTATGACCGTGTTCTGCAGCCCTTGTTTGAGATACACGATATCATCCGTAAGATCTTTAGATTGCGCGCAAAAGAATTTGATCCAACAGAACCTGTAGAAAACTTGATTTCAGGTCTTCTCCGTGCCAAGTACGAAACCGAAAATGAGCCAGACGACGAGATGAGAGACGTTCAGCTGTCTGAAGACCATTTTGTCATCACTATCGAAGACATGTTTGTTGGCGGCTACGAAACCACAAGCACCACACTAAAATGGGTTATTGCCCTCTTGGTCAGATATCCGGAGCATCAAAAGGACATTCAGCGCCAGTTGGATGAGGTAATTGGTGCGGAAAAGAGCCCTTCCTTACACGATCGCTCCAGTCTGCCGCTCGTGCTGGCCACAGTCATGGAAACCCTAAGGATCGGAAACTTATTACCCATTGCACTACCTCATGTGACTCTTACCGACACCACATTGTGTGGATACCGTGTACCGAAGGACACCATCGTCTTTGCCAACACGGAGTCTATTCATCTGGATCCAAAATTTTGGGAAGACCCCACCGTGTTCAATCCTTACCGTCACCTGGACAAAGATGGCAAGTTGATCACCAATCAAGGCAACTTCTATCCTTTCGGAGCCGGCCGCCGTGTCTGTGCAGGTGAAGCCCTGGCCAAAGTTGAGCTGTTCATGTTTGTCTCGTGGATGCTTCAAAAGTTTACTTTTATAGCTGATGAGGGACATCCTGTGAACACGAAGGGAGCTTTTGTTCAATTTCCCTCTGCTTACAAGATACGTGCCATCAAGCGACAATGAGGATCTCAGATATCACTTTCTCAGGCTTGTTTATCGGTGATGTCAAATCCGCTATATGAGACTGCTGATTTTATAGAACGAAGAATTTAGTGCCGGAGACGGCACTGTGCTAGTTTGCATCAAAAGCGCCCTTAGAAACTATCTTTTTAATAGAAATAGAGTACTTTTAAATTGAGAGTAGTACATAAAACCAAATCCAAAGTGATCAGAAGGGTCAACAAGACCAATCTCAAAACGAAGTAAAGCGAAACAAAAGTATATAAACCAGTTTATATTCTCTCAGGCAAAACTGTCGCAGTCACGTGTGACTTTCCACACTTATTTAAACTTGGCTCCATATTGTTAAATTTTCAAACCTTTTATCCTTTTTTAAATAAAAAATTTAAGGCAATCGGTGTTCTGTAGCAGTATATCTTTTCCTGTTTACATTCTGCACGAATAACCACAACCCAATAAATTTTTTTGGTAAATCCTATGTAAAACATTGACCGTACCCTGCGAAGAAGCGTGTTTGGACTTCTTTTACACATGAACGTCTTTTTACATTTCGTTTAACACTATTTACAGCTAATAAATCTCAGCAATTTTGACAAATTTCTTTGATTTCACCGTTGTATAGTAGTTAAAGAACATTACATCATATTCTGAGTCAATTTGCGCAACTTGGGCGATAAAGGTATGCCATGTTATGTTACGTGGAAGAGCGGTGGTGAAATGGTTACAACGCTGGATTCCCGGTTAGAGACCTAGCCAGGTCAATGTGTTGCGTCCTTTGGCAAAGTAACTTAGTCCCCAGTGCCTCTCCCTACCCAAGATTATTTATGAGTACCGGCGAATTTCCAGGGAAGCATGATGATATGTGGAGGGTTACCTTGCGATGAGGTAGCACCCCATCCAGGGGGGAAGGGTGGGTGGAGTAGTGATACTCCTGGTCGCTTTATGCTAAGGAAACCATAATAAGCTCGGGCTGGGTGGACCTCTTGTCTTGATTACAGACTTAACCTTTTACCATTTACCATTTGCCTTTGCTTTTCATTGCTACATACTCAAAAACAAGTGACTTCCACCCAGACCTTCCGAGGACAACGGTTATGACAGTAACGAGAAAGGATCTGGGTACGAGATTAGTACAGACCTTCTCGTTTATGCGAAACACAGGTACAAATAGAGAATTAGGTCATGAGACCGTATCACCAACAGGATTCACTAGGTTTTATCAAAAATGTTAATGAACTCAAGGTAATTGGTCGCTAAGGAATAATGTTTCATGGGTTTGCGGGCTGCTTATGAGTGTCTGGATGGGGGTGGGTGTCCTTATATCCGTTGTCGGTTATAGTTTCATTTCTTTTTCGGTAGTTGGTTCAAATTTTCGATATTTGTCGGTAGTCGGCAAATTTCAGCTAATAATTAAAAATACATGTTAGTTATTTATTTTATTCAGGTAATTCGTGGGCTCGAGTACCGGACATTGCTCTGGAAATGAGCCCGCGTTCCTACAAGATAAGTTTGATAACAGGAAATTTTATAATCAACTGAGTCTTATATTTCAAGTTACTACCTCCTGAGCCAGAGTGCTCCTCTTTCTGACTAGAAATCAATACATATATCGATAAAGTTAACCCCGTTCAAATCCCCTTTTTTGTTTTTGAAGAATCAGAATAGGCCAGATGGAATGTCTACTGAAGGAGATTTCTTTGTGCTTGCTCGGTTAGTTAGTAAGTAAACACTTTGAAGCTGCGGCCGACAGAAAAATTTCGTTGACCCTTTTTTTTTCTTTTCGGCAATTGAGCAGCGATTGAAATCAGTTTTCAATGTCACTACCAGTGGGACTCTACCAAACGAGTTTGTTTTCCTTCCATGTAAAGTAATAAGGACGAAAAAGTGAAACTCTTCAGCTGGCTTTTTTCCGCTGTCTTTTTTTTCTCGACGGGAATGATCGGAGGCAAATATCGTCAATGTAGCTTATTGTGTAATAATTTTCCGGTGATTTTTTTACCGCGCGACGTAAAGTAGCCTATAGGGTCGCGCGAAAATTAATGGGTGGGTTTTTAACCTATATACCCTTGAAATTTCCGAAAATGGAAGGGATAAAAAATTAATTCGTAAGTGGTACAGGAACCTTAGACTCAAAGCCCTATGGGGGCTGAAGTCTATTCGTAAACCGCGTTCTACATACAGGCTGTGCACGAAGTTCATTGGTTATCCATTCAGTCACTAGTAATTGCTCTTTTCTTTGTTTATTGCCAACTCTGTAACCTAATATCAAAAATTTTTTAAGTTAGCGTGAAAAGGAAATCTTGATTGTACTGCTATATGAATGGTCGAAAGAAAAAACACGCCAATCTCTCAACCAATCAGATGTAAAACTGAAACCAATCGCGACTTAGTGACTCGCGTTTTTACGCGCGGACGAGGTAGTCTAATTTTTTTTTTTCACTTTGAGTTCTCATTGGCTCCTTGTGATGCCTTCCTCCGCTCTGATAGGCTGCCTTTATACCTTCACTTTTAATCTCACGAAGCTCAATCGAGAAGAGCTCTGAATAAAAAATTGTAATTCGTCTAAAGCACTTAACAAAAATTGCAATTTATAAAAAAATATTTCACTTTCGCTGTATGGCGCGTATCTTGTAGGGAGCGGGAAACTGAGTAATACTAAATATGCCCCTCAGCTCGGGAGGATGGCCATCTACTTCAGGAACAAAAGTGAAATTTTGAAGAATCCAAGACACAAACAAAAACAGTTTCACTTTAGCAAGGGCTTCCCCAGCGCATACCCGGCGACCAGCTCCGAAAGGAAAGAAGTTACTTTGGTTAGTGATAAGCTGACCGTTTTTGTCGATGTGACGGTAAGGATTGAAATTGGTGGGATCTTTCCAACAGTTAGGATTCAGATGAACAGACTCTGTGTCAGCAAAGACAATTGTATCCTTTGGAACGCGGTAGCCGCATAGTGTGGTATCGGTCATGGTGACATGAGGAAGTAAAAGAGGTCCAACGTTTCCAAGTCGCAGTGTTTCGATGATTGCTGCCTGCACTAGAGGTAAACTGGCACGATCATTCAAGGAAGGACTCCGCTCACCAAGTACCTCGTCTAACTGGCGTTGAATGTCCTCCTGGTACTTTGGATGGTTAACTAGGTAAGCTATCACCCATTTTAAGGTTGTGCTGGTAGTTTCGTAGCCAGCAGCAAACATGACCTCAACATCGTTCACAAGATAGTCATCAGAAAGGAATGCGGACCTTTCTCCATCGCCTGCCATCTTTGCTTCGTTTCTTGCACAAAGAAGACCCGAGATGAAATCCTGTACGCTCTTTGCTGGGTCGAAATTTTCTTCGCGTTCTCTTAAAAATTTGCGAATGATTCCAAACATTTCGAAGAAGGGCTGTATGAAGCGATCATAAGCCTTGATCGGCAAGTACTTCGTAAAGGGGAAGAAGTCCAACACAGTAACAAGCCTCGCCACATCATCATTTTCCACAATATTCGCGCAAAGATTCAAAAGTTGGTTTAGATCTGGGTGCGTTGTGTCGAAACCTTCACCGAAGGTTATCCCGCAAATGACATCAGCAACGCCCCTCATGAGGCAATCTGCGGGATCGAAAGGTTTGCCATCTTGTTCTTGCATAAACTGCACCAATTTCTGAGCTTGAACTGAGACTCGGCTTTCTATGAGGGGAATATCGGAAACATACTGGCGCAATACTGATGTGAATAATTTTCGATGAAACTTCCAAGAAGGACCATAGTTACCAAAAGCAATATCTTTACCGCCTGCAACAGAACAAATGTTACGGACTTAAGTTACAGTGTAATTAAAAAAAATGATTAAGTTCTGCCTCTCTGCCGTCAAAATGTCAAAGGTTTATGAGTAATGAATGCGCGTGAAGCAACACATCTAAGGGATGGCTCTCCCTCTTCAGTTTCTTTGTTCTAAAGGAAGTTTGCGTAGTGATCTTCTTGTACCACTGGCTAGAAGCAGTATAAAATCGCCAAAAAACCTTCAAATGAAGGAAGGAAATCAACTACAACCTCAATCTGTATGTGAGAGATGTGACAACAAGTCCCATAATCCAATGCTCGATGCAAACGAAGTATTGGAGGGGTGGGAAGCGACCGTTCTTGCAATTTCTCTCACGTCCTTCCCTTCCCCTATCCTTAACTGCCCCTTAAACGTTTCATAATAATCATTACTGAGGATTTTCTTCCGATAATCGATTTAAATTATTCCTTTTTCAGAACCCTATTACGTAATCAATGTGCAAAAGGCCTTACCTAGTGTTCTAGTTTGAACTGAATATGTCTGTGGTCTTCCAGCGTACTCAGTAGATTTCTTTATTAGCATCTCTTTAACAGATTCAGGTGTAGACGCCATAACAAACTTGTAACTACCAAGTTTGAGCGAAAATACAGGACCATAGTTTCGTTTGAGGCTGAAAAAGAACAAAGAGAATCGTTTGTTAAACATCTGCCTCGGTAATGATATTCATGAAACAATGATCAAAATAGCAGTGCTGATTTCTCTTGACTAAACTCAGCGCTTTGCGTTTTGTTTCAATCTCTAAAAAGAAATTCGAGCCTCAAATATTTTTTCACTTTTCAAACCATTGAAATGGTCAATTGATGAACAGTGGATTCAGTGGTTTGAAAAGACAGGAGTGGTGACCCCAACAACAACGCCAGAAATGTTAATAGGAAATATAAATAGCTCTTGTATTCTTTTATGTTAACAATGGGCGGTTTTGAAGAGAGGATTTCAGTAACGCGATTTGAGCTTTGGAAACTGAAGCTAAATACATTATTCGATAAAGACCTAATAATCGTATCTACTCAAAGTAATTAGTCTGTTTCGTTATCCAATTTTGTCCAATCTTTTATCAACGCCGCTGAATCTTCCACATCCCTATCTAATGTCTTAAAGACATTGTTTTGACGGCAGGATTACTATAATCGATCATCGCGCAACTTTACAAAGCAATTTGTCGTCATTGTCCATTCAGCAAATGGTGACCCTGCAACCGCCTGTGGACTCCAAATTACTGAGCCTGGAAAAAAAGTCCTAAAATGCGAAACCGAATGAAATCATAGCCACTTAAGAATAATCGCTCTTGATTTATAGAATGGAAAAACAGTCTATGATCATAAATTACCGGTAACTTAAGAGAAAAAATGCAAATTTAAAGCTATTCTCTCAAAAGACTTCTCACGCAAATCAATTAAACCGCACTTTTACAGGAGTCATGCTGTGGAACGCTATTTCTGTACCATGAATTAAAATAAAGCTATATATAACGGTTTATTTAGTGGCGATACAAACTATTATTGACAAATAATTGTCAAAAACAGTGGCAACTAAAAATAACTGAAAAATTACTTCATAATTACATGGCTAAGTAGCCCACATATGTAAAACAATGTGGGTAGTTTGGATTGTTCTAAAATTAACATTTTTCTGCTCTGAATTTATCACAACATTTTAACCGGCTTTTTAAAAAATTGGATTTTTAGAGAGAATTCGTTCGAGGCAAGATGACGAGAGCGGGGCAACACTAGGTGTAGATAAATGAATATTCTTACATCTCAACAGGCTGATAATGTTCCAATCACTAATCATGCGCTTCCGAATAGGTGTGTTAACTGTTTTATGATCTATTTCCATGGAAAATTCATTAAGTGGTTATATGCTTTTAACTTTTTTATGGCTTCATCAAAGAGGAATTTTAACAATTACGGCCAAATAACCGTAAAGCGTTTCCATGGCAGAAGTTAAGAAGACTGTTTACTCAGTAGTGGAGTTGTTTTGCTCCGAAAGATATATGTTTGGATAGTTTGATAAGTCAAGTGGTCAAACAGAATATTCTACACTGTATACAAATAGCTGATTAGAAATTACATAATATTTGTATGGCAGATGGGCGTAAAGAAAATTTTCAATTTTTGAACCAGAGAATTTGGTGAAATGTCATCAAAAAAAGTGTTCTTTCCCACAATGTTAATACCCGACACAATAATCTTTGAGCCAAAAGCAAAACCAAAGATGGCTATATCAAATCGAAAGTTAAATATTTTAAGATACGATTCACTGACCTTCGGAAAGCGTCGGTTAGTTTCTCCGCCTTCGAATCGAGAGAAAACACGTTACCTAAAACGGGAACGGCTGTAAATCGCGGACCCGGTGGCATTCCTCTGAACTCGTACAGCACCATGATGTAATGTGATACCATCAGGGTGAACAACAGCAGAAAAACATTGCCAAGGCTGAGGAAATCGTAAATTGTGGCGAACGCCGTCGACATGTTTACGGGGAAGGTTAGTGGTTAAATTGACTCAATTGAGGACCACACGATCTTAAATCTGACGTCACGAAAATTTAGGACGAGTGCGAGCTTGCGCACAAATGAGATGTCTGTGTCTTCCGCTATTGCGAAAGAGATGTTAGCATCGCTGCCCCGCTTGATGCAACGTGATAATGAAATCGGACTTTAGGTGGGAACGTTGTGTCAAAAAAACTTAAACCATGGATATATGTGTAAATACAATCTATCTTGGCGTAAGTATCGTTGAAGTGGTGGATAACTCTACTTCAAAATGGCTCATTTATTGACAAGTTCTCAGTGAAATTACTTGTGACGTCATTGTCCTACAACGGTAGCAACCTCATGAATGGGAAATACAGATAATCTCTGGGTAATACGAGAGTTATTGTTATTGTTTTATTTTAGATTTCTAGTCGTTTCTAACGGATCTGCTGAATGACAGCGTAACCTGAAAAATTGTGGCCAAGTGCTTCCTTTGACACCATACAAAACTTGTACACAAGGCGCCTGTTTTTGTGTTGTTGGTGTGTGTGGGTTTGTTTGGGTGAAACGGTAAATACACGGGAACTCGAATATCTTTGCAAGGTCGTTTAAGAATGCCGAATGTGTTTGGAATGAAAAAGAGTACATAAGAATTTAAAGCAGTTAACAATTGAACGAAACTCTGTTCGATCTTAAAGCGTGTAAAGTCTAACTCGTTCTGATGAACGAATTGAGAGGTTTTTCTCTTCATGGCGTGCAATGCGTTGGTCGTTATCATAATTATTTCCTGTTGGCAAACTTATGCTCAAATAACTTCCTTTCACTTTGAAACAATGCTGGAACAAGAGCCAAAAATAAAAAAAATTACTGATCGAATCGGCTAAGTCGACGTTAAGACTGTACAGAACACGATGTTTATTGTTGTCTGATGAAATCACGATGTCATTGTTGTCTGATGAAAATATCTGTTGAATCGACTTTGAAAGTCCCTTTCTCGCTTACTAGTTCTTAGCAAGCTTACTCAGGATTTGTAGGTGACGTTTCCCGTTTTTCTCAATGGGAAAAAATTCATCAACACTTGATAGTTTCCCAAGATTGGCTAATCTGAAGGTAAACGTGCAAGCTTACTCAGGATTTGTACGTGACATTCGGCTAAAATTGCGGAAGCTGTGCGCTGATTTGAGTTAAAAAAAAAAAATAATAATAATACGATAGAGTCGCATGTCAACAATTTGTCGTCGCAGATCGGATTGACAGTTCATTTCAATTGTTCTATGTTTAATTTGGCAAAGAAAGTTTGGCAACTTGACACCAAGGAACTTGCTGGAGTAGAGTTTCGTCTGTAGCTCTCAAGTCTCAAGAGTTCCCTACAGTCGACAATGGGCGAAAAGTTATCACTATTCAGTGGCGGATCCAGGCCTTGAGCTGAGTTGGGGGGAGGGGGTGGAGATGGTTTCTTGTCGCTTGCCCTGTCGATTTTTCTTCCTCCGGCGATTCTCACTCTTTTACCAAAATAAAGTGGGGGAGGGAACGGCGGGTCCCCCGGACCCTCCCCTGGATTCGCCACTGCTATACTGCTATTAGTGTTACAATTTTAAATATTTCCTCTTTATGTCGCGAGAGAACCCCGACATTTCAGGTTTGGCACACTAGGCGCAAACTACGACACGAACAATCTATTACGGGAACATTCGTCAAGGAAATGGATCCCAATGTGACATATTAGTATAGAGTCTCAAAGCTGTAGTGTATTGTGTAGAGGTACTCAAAACAATTTACAAAAAATATCCTCAATGTATTGTTAGAAACTCTGAAAGTCATCGCGTTCTTTCCGTTAGCTTTTGAGCTTTTGATGTTTCTTACTCTGCTTAAAGGAATGGATTCCGTTTATTTTACATACCTATTATTAACCGAGTTCGAGGTCTTGTGTAGTCTGTATTTTTAGGTAGGAACCGATTTCCTTCAAGATGTTACAATCTCTTTATTTCCTAACCTTCGTTGGCCCAGAGCGGAGTTGAGTCAGTAGCCGTTTGCACCCTAATATCTGTGCGCATTTTCTCCCTTCTGTTCTTTACTCATGTCCTATGAGGTTGACAATGAGAATTTGCTTACTCAGTCAAGAGCTCCTTAAGTTAGTGATCCTTTGCTTGATCTCATGACTTTTGTGCTTGATTCAGCTGTGATACTGTAAGGAGATATTAGAGACGAGCCTGCGATAAGTGATAATTTAATTGAGGAGAAAAATGATAATCCGTAATCACTCTGTGCGGAGCAACAACATAAGTAAGATTTTTATTTTTCCTCTTCTCTGTGTCTGACGGGTTTGGAAAACGATTTCTAATCACACGTAGCGACTTCAAGCGACTGCCGCACGATGATAGATGAGCAAGTGCATTAAAAACTGATGCACTATCGCTAACACGTTTCATCACGGAAAGTTAAGGACAACTGGCCATGAATGACGAGAACTTCTAGCAGCAAAAACAACCTTAAACTATAATGGGACGTGCAGGAAGGTCGGTACAGCTCGTTAAATTGACCAGCCGCTGCGCGCTTAGTAACTGAAGGTTACAACAGAGACACCGCGCTTCTCTCACGTGCGAAATAGTGTGCCGTGCGGATGATTACATAACTTTTTTGATGATACAATTAAGAGGCAATGAATTGTCTATTATATTTATTATTACCTCCATTACTTACATTTTTAATACACTGTTTTTTCTATTTAAGACTTCCAGTATACAATACATACAAATCGTTGAAAGTTACTCAGTTTACTACCAAGATGAAGGTTTGGATCAGTTTGTTCATTTTCAATTGCTTCGCCGGTGTTAACAAAACAACAGAAGGTGAAAATATCAAACTGGTCACCAGTCAGACACGTGCGTATTACTTTCGTGAACGAAAATCTATTCTCTTATTGGCAGGTGAGGTTGGAAAGCCGAGTAAGTTCTCACGACCAAAACCCAAACCTTACACCTGCCGCATAACAGAGCGACGCTTGGTGACGAAGTGCGTTACAACCTACATGACATGAGCTAACAATTGCTGCGATAAAGTAAGATTTTGGGTGACACTCAGACGTTAAACGTCCGCAAATAACAATAAACTTTGGTTACAATTTCCTATTCCCAGAAATTAGCCTTCTCTCTCCGAAATTTCTTTTCCAGTAAAATGTTAAATGGCCGAGTTACGTCTTGTCAAACATAATAACAAAATAATTTGAAAACTGTACAAGTGCAACACGTTTCTTAGAGGGAAAAAAATCATTAACAATCAATAATTTCCCAAGATTGGCTGGGAAAAGTTTACTTCTTCCTCATAATCTGACGGTAAACGTGTAAGCAACAACACTATCAGCAAAAGAACACACTTCGCTAGTTATCATACTGGTGATGACACGAAGGTTAATCAGTTTTTTTTTTTGAATACCTTGAATAATTTTTAAAAAGAAACACAGCTTTGAAAGGAGGCCCCTCCCTGATCTTTTCAAACTTCAGCTGTGAAACAGTTTCAAGAGAACTTAAACCAAACTTCAAATGCAAAGCAAAACTGGCGAATCAACAGACACTCGACCAAAAATATACCTATAACAATTTTTCTAGAGATTCTTTATCTTTCAATGACATCCTTGATTAATTTGAAAATAATTTGAAATAATTATTTTAACAGATTACTACAAAAATTTGATCAAACTCAATACAAGCAAAGATTAAATGTTATGAGAAGATTAACTACAGAGACATTACTAATAAAATTAAGGCTAAAAAATTCAAGTCAGTCAGTTTTCTTCAATCACTTCCCAGTGTCCTTCTTCAACCCTTTAACTCTCAAGATCTAATTGTTAATTCTCCCCTCTAGCTGCTACAAATTTCTTTGTAAATTAGTTATGAGAACTTGGTGCTAGATCAAGATAGCCGCTTCTACCTGATGAGTTTGAATATTCTCATTACCCGTTTGCTGAATAATGTATGGATATTGTAGGGAGAAGATTTACGTTAATCACTTCTGGAAGTTAAAGGGTTAAAGACGTGATACTAGAGATTTCCGCTTTTAGATTTCTAAAGGATAGCCAAATACCTATAAAACTCCTACTGCTTCTTACAAAGATACAGCACATCTATTGTTGGAGTGATTTTCAGCTAAACCATTTCATTACAGCTTGTTTGAGAACTTATTTGATGAGGGGAAAAACACTTCAAGCCTAATCCTTCTCTAGAGACTAATATTATTTGAAAGGCATCATAATACTGGAAATTAGCCAAACCTTGCATGATTAATTTCTGATTTCTTGCAAATTCTAGCTATTGTCAACAGCCTTTATGACACATTTGACTGTATACGCAAAGGCAGCAAAGCCAATGATAACACAAATGTTCACCAGGGTACTACTGATGAGGCCATTTTGTCCTTCCCGTGTAGCCCCAGTCACCTCTCCCTCTCTGTTACTATTGTTCTGTGATGCAGTTTCATGTCCCTCCCTCATCTCTCCTCTTTCTCTCATTTTTTCTTGGATTTCCTGTAAAGTTGGACATGAACATCAGATAGAAAACAAACAACAGGTAATTGCATATTGGGGAAAAGCTCCTCATAAATTTTTTTTTATTGCAGTTAACTCTAAATGAACAGAAATTCAGGGTTGTTTCTTCTCACAGTTTTCTTGCTCATGATGCAGCACCTACTTAGGCCTGCTTGAAAGCAACCAGCCGGAAATTTTGTAAATATATGAGGTTATTAGTTTTTAACCCTTTAACCCTTTAACCCTCAAGAGTGACTAGCATCTAATTTCTCCTTACAATATCACTCCTGAATCATACAGTAAGGTTATGGGAATAAAGAAAATTATCAGTAGCAAAAGAAACTGTTGATTGTTACACAAATTCTCCTTGTCGGCACCTTAGGGAAAGTATGGGGAACAGGAGAATAGGGTGTGAAGGGTTAAGGAATCTGTTTGTGCTGGACATAATGGTAAGAGAAAAAATCATAGATATCAACTATAAGTTGATAAAGATGGGTTAACAATAGCCTACATGCTAGCCTTCATGATGTATTGGTGTTCCTTTGCCAGCTGGAAAGTATGAAGCTTTGAGTAATGCAAGCCCATGAGAGGTCTGCAAGGGGGGTCTAGCACTGATAATTAAACTCATAATTGGTGCCAGACCCCTGGTGCACATCTCCCTAACTCATCTCAAATCCTCCCTTAGGCAGAGAATGCACCTTCTGCAGTGCTAATATTGAAGAGCTTTTGGCAAATTTGGGAAACCAAAGAGTTGGCCTGTTGTCGGAGAAAATTGAAGCTAGAGCTAAAAATGTCAGCTTTTCAAAATTTGTTGGGGTGGTTTATCTATCTTTATCAACTATCAGTTGTTTACCTACTTCTTTCTGAGAAACTTGGCAGTAGTTCAATGTAAAATGAATGAGTCATTTTATTGCACTCACCTCTACCATATCGGTGAAAAGTTCACAAAATATTTTGTCTTGTAAGTTAAATGGTCCACTTCTTAAAGCAAGCTGCCTTTTCTGAAATTGAAGTTAAAATTGACATGTATACATTGTACAGTGTAGATTGTGCGCAAGTTTTCGATAGGCACATACAGTACAGTGGATACTGTTATTTCCTGGTTGTACAGTATTTAAGAAATTACTGAGATAAACACATAGCAACTAAACTACCCCCCCCCCCCCAACCAATTTCATTTTCCCCATATCCTTTTAAATACCTGGAATTCCGATGTTTCTATGCTGCCGAGGGTTGGCGATGTTTCCACCTAAGAAACCAAAAACTGTACAATTAAGTAAGTCATCAAAACTTTACAGGACATTTGAAACTGTATTGTTTTCCAGGCCTGATTATAAATAACACTTTTAATATCAGGTTTAGCTGATAACATCACAGTTAAAATACTTGACTGAAGATAACTCCTCATCAGACAGAAAGATAGACAGGGCTGAACATCTAGCGCTGTTTCCAAAAGGCATTCAAATGGTGAACTACTAAATCTATAGGAATAACACTGAAAATCTCTATAATAATGCAATTGCTACTCCAAGACAATAGCATGCACATCAAATTGGAAACATACCATGAAACTTAGTAAGCCAGTCAGAATGGTTGAGACTGACCAAGCTGGATTCCATGTGTCAGGGTGAAAGTCACTTATTGACAAACATAATCTAAAAATTTGAGGAAAAAATTACAGGTACTTGGAACAAGCCATTGTCATAATGAAAAATAGAGATCAAATGTAAATGTCCAGTGTAATGTACATGTAAAAACAATCTTTGAAATCCAGCCAAGTTATGTTTCACATTCAAGAACATTTCAATAAAACTGTAGGAAAAAATTAGATCACATGCCTGTGTTTAACCTCAAAAGAAACTGTTACTACAAGTATGTGTAGGACATATTTATTGCAAATTTTTATGAGCAATCTGAGTAATGACCTCGAAAACTTAAGACTAGTTTCTACTGATATTACACTTCATGCACATCTTTAAACATCCTTCTTGGCCAAACAAATCAAGAGATTGAATTGTTCTGCTTCAGATATTAGTACCTTTTTTCAAAAGAAAAAAAAAAAGGAATCAAGAAGAACCCAGCTCACCTTGTGTTCACTTTGAATCGTCCATTTGGTGTGATCATAAATATCCTTGGCGGTTTAAAAGGGAAATCTTTTGGAAAAACTAGCTTGCCATGATAGTAACCACCTAAATAACCAAAATAAAAATAATCACACCATACAGTGTACCTTATATGTTGAATTACGCCATGTTAAGGGTTGGAATCACTTTGTGCACTCATTTATTCACAAAGAGATAATATAAATGCTAATAATATATATGAAAAAATCACTCAGTTCTGATTGGTTAAGATAAATGCAGTTTTCATGTAATTCAGTGCAAAGGAGGGTTAACTAAGTATAAAGAAAGTAACAAATCAGACATTCTGATTGGTCAGTAATCAAAGAAACTCATAGAGAGCCAATTAAATGTGAGCCTTGGATGTTGCAACAAAATTTGAAAATTTGAAAATTTGTGAGCGAAACAATGGCCAGTGTATTAGGTAGGTTTTCTTTCACCACCACAGCTGAAAAACATCTCAAACAACAAAAGTACTGTAAAAAAAACTGCTTTTTGGTTGTCGGTTTGGAAAAAGTGGTGTAGAAATAGAAAATTATGCACCGACCCAGCTTAACACTTTGCTCCAGCGATCCAATGCCCAAATTAAAAACAAACATGGTTAAACTGTGGAAATGACGATTCCATTTCATCGAAAGTGATTTGGACACAGAGTGAACAATTCCTTAAACTGTTTAGCCGGACTTTGAACTTTTTTGCGCCTTAAAGATGGGAAGATATTATTGTATATTATTGTTTTGATTGTACACAGTTGTTTTGACCGAACACATGGTTTGAATAAATTATTTTTGCACCTGATGCACATGCTTTGCTTAGGCTTAATTATGATAAGCAATCTTGTATTTTTTCATGTTTATTATTAACACCTAATCACATAATTTTTCTCATGCAATTTGGAATAAATGAGCACTTGTTAATTTTTTCAAAGACCACAAATTGCACTCGCCCTATGGGCTCATGCAATTTTGTTAGTCTTTAAAAAATTTACTTGTGCTTATTTATTTATAATTTCAGTCGAAATCATGTGATTACCTACACAAAGTGTACGGGTTCACTGATGTGGAATTTGTGTGAGATTTTCCTTAAACAACTATTGTACTCAGGCTAGCTGAACATGAGATTACATTTTTACCACAATTGACAGTAATGTCGCAGTCCGATTGGCCAATTTGCCAGTGTCAATAAGAGCACAGACAACATTGCTTCTGTCAACATGTCACGCAATGGTCACACACTGAAAGAATTGTTTTACTTAATGTTGATATTGTGGTAAAAACAAATTGCTATTCAGCATGGTCAAAATTTGTTGTGGAGTCACGAGGCATAGCTGAGTGAGTCCACCCAAGTCCACAAAAGCGAGTCCACAACAGTTAGTCCACTGTATTAACTCATTGTTGATGAGAGTGCAGACCATGCTAAACTACGGTTGATTTGTTAAATAACCAACTCATTGCTGCATGCCTGATAGAATAACTGTTATAGAAGGTTCTGTGGCATATAGTTTAAAATTAGCCAAGAAAGTTGTATTCCAACAAGTTCCCCTATACCACTGTAATAAGCGCATTACTCATAAATCGTAACTCAGAAATAATGATGCACAGATACGTATGATTGTTATCAAAGACACTGAGTAAGCTTCCATTTCACTTCACAACGTAAAAGGAAAAAATATCAGGTGTCTATGATTACACAAGTTACGTTTTGAAGAAAAGGAAAGACTGATCTTAAAACATCTACAGATGGCTACCTACATGACTTATATTAATCGAACACGGACTTCTATCTACAACTGATCTTGAAAATTTACGCACATAAAAACCGACAAAGACGAGTTACCTGCATACGGTGTATTTTCTGGCCCTCTGACCACATAATGCCTATCAAAATAGACCAAAGACCCACGATATGAGAGAAATCAACACATAGGAAATAAATAATTGTATTGATAAATGATAAAAATGATGAAACGTCACGTACCATTCCAAGATATTTGATGACAATGGCAGCGCTGTGATGTAAGGTACAGGATCTTTCAGGATACGTAGATAATCTTGCCGCAGTCTTGAGGCTGCTGTAGTGTGTACGCGTTTCTGGGATGCCATACACAACCGTAAAAACGCCAAAAAATTGAGACGGGAAGCTAGTGTTGATGAAAATTAGAGGAGCAACGCAACTGCGAGTCTGCACAAATGAATGTTGACGGCTGACCAGTTGCCAGGAACACTGGGACGGGATAAATTTGCTTAATGACAATACATATTAAGCTTTTTTTAAGGTGGCAGGAATATTGTAACATTTTATTTGCGTAAATTAAGTTATTTATCATCTCAAATAGTATTAGTATACAAAGAATTTCAAAAGTATTGTCGCAAGTTTTTTTTTTACGAAAACCGCGGTCACACAATAAGCTGCGAGGAAACTGGCGCCGAGAACAAGTCTACTACTCTGCCATGGTGGACTGCTAGAGTACATAATTTTTCTAACTTTCCCTTTGCCGGTTTGCAGGGGTAAGTATTTGTTTGTATTTACAAAAAAGGGTTACACAATGAGATGTATTATTCTTCTGTTAAGAAATGGTAGCATCATGCATTGATGCCAGTTTTTGTCTCAAGTGCAAGCTTGTTGTTTTGAATTGCAAGAATGCAAGAATTTTAATCGGAAATGTAGTGATAAACTCCCAATCAATCAAACGTGCATATGGCCCATCTCGGTTGGGTAGAATGAAAACTCAATTGCTTTTCCAATGGTTGTTTTTTCTTGTAGAACTCTTGACGGTCTTACTATTTTCTGTGTAGATTGAACCTAGCGCCTTGAAGTTGCAACGATTAGATAGTTGGGCTTTTTACAACCGGAATTTCCTTCGTCATCAGCCATCTTGTCCTGCTTTGGAGCCGTAAAACTGCAATTTTCTCTTATAAAAGAGAAAGATTTTGCATCTCAACAACGTTTACAGGTAAGTTGGTAAGACATTCACTCTGTACAGGCCTTTAAGTTTGTTTTGATTAAGTATAGTTTATAACGTGCATGTAGTGGTACTTTTCGTTTAAAAGTTGATTTCATTAACACATATGAGTAACCTTTGTTGAGATCTTTAAATGAGATAGAGATAGACATGGAGGAATATTGTAAAAGCATTTTTGTGTTTTCTCATCTTAACACTATGTCTTCATCAGAAATACATTTTGGGACACTTCCTATTACTGTCCATTGTTTCTTTTGTCTCCATATGAATTACAAGATTATAGATTCAACTCAAAAAAAGATACATGAAACATTTTATCTGAAAGCTGGTATGGCTTGAGATCTCATACCTAGTAAAGATATCTGCACTCTCCAGTATTATGGTATAATCTATCCAGCAGAAAAACACCAAAATCCTACAAATTCTACTACTTTATTCAATGATGAGTAATATTCTTAATAAGGAGTGACTCCTAAAGGCAGTACGGTACATATGCTCAATAAACTTACTTGAGCCCACTACTGTCTGTATATCAGCTCACTATTGAGCCAAACTCACAGTTTCCTCCAATGTTTCTTGAAATTAGCAATCTCCTGCTGTAGCTTTCTCTCACTGTATAACTTTCTAAACAGTCGATCACCCCTGACAACAACAACTACTACTAGTACTACATAACTTAGTCCTTATATACATTCAAAAAGTGTTCTGGAACATTCCAGAAGCTTAAAAAAGACTTATTTTAGTAGTATTACATAATAACTTGATGGAATGTTCCAGAAAGTTCTATGGTATGCATGTCAGCATGACTAAGAAGTCTGGAGATTTCTAGAAGTTTATATTTAAAACAACAATTACTCATAACACCAACATGTCGTCTATTAGTAAAAGTTTTAAGATTTGAGTCTGAATGTACCTTGGAGCACATGGCAGCATTTTTAGTTTCAGGCAGTGATAATTTACCCATGAGTTGAAAGGGGAAGAATCAAAAGAAATACATGACTGTAAATATGTAATAACCATATATGTGCACTGCAGTTAAAGAAATGAATATGGAAGTGATCCTCATAGTTATGAATACTACTGGGCTGGGTTGTTCAAAGGTGGGTTAAGATAACCCAGAATTAGCGTGAAATGTGATTTCAGATCTGATAGCTTTAAAAGAAAATTCAGTAGAATTATTTTTGTCTAGACTATGACTCTTTGACGCTCTAAAAAGAACATAGGACATTATCCCAAAAAGGCTTTTGAATAAAGGAATAAAAAAACCCAGATTAAAATTTTAACTGTGGGTTAGCGCTAATCAGCCTTTGAACAACTGGACCCAGAACTAGTAGTGAAAATAGGGCCTGAGAAAGATTCAGGCCCGTATGGAATTTGAACCCATGACCTCTGTGATACTGGTGAAGTGCTATACCAACTGAGCTAGCGAGCCAACTGGGAGCTGGTCATTATCTTGATTATAAATAAACCCTCCAAGTGATGAATACATGACTGTAAATGTATGAAAATCATATATATGCGCACTGCAGTTAAAGAAATGTGTATATTTATATATCATATTTCTTTAACTGCAGTGCACATACATTATTTTCATATACTTACAGTCATGTATTCATGAGTGTAATAGGTAACTAAAAATCAAACTGGTATGAACCTTTTAAACCAACTTAGAAAAAAAATTTGATCATTAATAGATCTATATTTTGTGAATAGAATTTACATTCACTCCTACAGTAGCAGGTGATAACAGCTGTTTGACTCCTTTGCAGACATAGATATGTGGCAGTTTGTACTGGGAATGATAGGAAAACCTTGTCTTTTGTCAGGGAAAAATTTTATTTGCCTCATTCACAACCGACGCTTGAGCAAGCAGTTTCATTACGGAGTCACACCCATTGAAAAGCATTGCCCAGGAAAAGTGGGGTACCCATGATGCTTTGCGGGTGCAATGACCTGGGAATGAGGTTGCAAAAGCTCACCGCCAGCTTCGGTCTCTTAAGATATGAATTGACAAATTCCCAAATGGGAGTTGTAAAATTTTGCTTTGTGTCCATTTAGAGACAATGGAGATACAAATGGAGCAATTAGTATTGTTTGAAAGTGATGAAATGCTTGATCGGGAATTTACAATGTCTACTTAAGCTTTTCGAAAAGTAAATAGACATTTTATCCGAAACTCACAGCAGTAATGGCTAAAAAGGAATATTTCTGTAATGTTATTTTGCTTTCATGGTGAAATTGATGGTCAAACCTTGTAAATCTGCCGCATTTCAGTCCTAATACAAATTAAAAACCCAACATTTAAAAGGTAATTTAATTTTACATCTGACTGATTTTTAAACAATAAAGCCTAATCAAGATAACGCTACTAATTACTTCCATTCTTCTTCAATGAATAGTCAGTGCTACATTTTGGTTGTCTGAGCAAGAAACAATACAATAAATGATAAATGTGAAAGATAGCCACAACTTTTATGTCGGTGTTTCGAAACCTTGATTGTTTGTAGCAATACAACTCTATTGAAACTTCAGACTGTATTGTTTTCATTTTTTTCCAAATTCTGCGCTTCCAAATCGGGGGTGCGGCTTATCTATGAATGTGGCTTATACATAGACATTTACAGTACTTGTGAACACGGTGTACATGGGGGATTACATGATTGACAGTCAGACTGACAGGCCTGCATGATGTTACGCATGCTCTCTTTCTCTTTTTTCTAGCTTATTTGCATTTTCAGTGCAACATTTTTCAATGGGTGCAATTCTGTTATGTCAAGTAACTAAATGAGTAGCATGGAAGTTTGGTAAATTTTCACATTGACATGTATATCAGCATACTGAGTGTTAAACTTTGATAAATGTGGCTTATTTATTTGCTCTGGTGAGGCTTTTACTCTTTTAATATGCAGCCCTCTCAAATGTGATGACGTTTTTTAACTGTTTACAGTACTAATTGCAAGCTCCAGTCATCATGGCTGAAAAAGAAGTCAAAACATTCAGCCACAGCCACAACTTAGAACAGTATGTTTTGCTGGCCAAGTCAGCCAGAGGAGCCGGATTAGTAGCCCTTATAAATCAGACATTAGAGGCCCCTGGTGTGTATGTTTTTGGGGAACTCATAGAGATGCCTTCTGTCAAAGCGGTATGTACTGTTATGTCATATTTGTCTTCAGTTATTAAGGTGCTATTAATGATAATTGCAACATAACTAGATCAGACACAAAACTTCCGACTACACTGCTTGTCTCTGGAGGTAGTAGTATGGAAAGCATTGCAACTGAAGTCAAAATATTTTCTCTTTGTGTAATTGGATGCTTTGCATTTAATTTTCTCTTCCAAAAAGTTTGTTTTGGATTCCTTTAAACTCCCAGTTTTGGAAATGGGAAACAAGATTGGACCCTCTCTTTTCATCCTTGATTTCAATTGCAGCTAGAAAACTCTGAAAATTCATCATACTGGACTCTCTTGAACATATTTGCATTTGGAACTTATAGTGACTATAAAGGTAAGATCAAGATTTCTTGCTAAATGTTAACATTTACCAGGCTTCAGTTGATTTGTGAAATGCTAACAGTACATGTGGATTGAAAGGTTTCCTAGTCCTTCCCATGAGGTGTTGTGAACAACTGCCGCCCCTTTGTTGTAAACATAGTTCATGTGCTGTGGCTAACTAAAAGGCTGTGTCTTTGAGCTGAAAAGAAGTGATTAATAAAAAAATCATTGAGGATTGTTATCTTTTCTTTTAAGGAGTAGTGCACTGAAATCTTACAGTGATTTTCATGTAAATTCCTTAGTGATTAGAAATTGTTTTCTTTATTTTTTGTTAAGGGTGTGTATTCACTGTTCCATTTCAGAAAAAGCCAGTTTGTTACCAGCTTTAACTGCGACACAGTTAAGGAAGTTACAACATCTAACCATAGTGTCCTTAGCAGCTAAATCAAAGGTACATACAATTAAACCTGTATTAAGTGGCACCGTATCAAGTGATCACCCCACACTAAGCGGTCGGTTGTAAAAGTCCCCAAATTTTTCTCCTTCACTGCTTTATATTCCACCTCCATTAAGGAGTTGTGGTTGCCCCCTGTTTGTATTGCCTTCCACCTGAATTGAACAATAACTTGCGTGTAAAACCACTCAAATATAACAAAGAATAATTTCTCATGTCAAATTTA